TATATGTATATATATAAATCTATATATGTATGTATGTATGTATGTATATGTATATGTATACATGTATGTATATGTATATATGTATGTATATGTATATATGTATGTATATATATATACATATATATATACATATATATGTATATATATAAATATATATATATATATATATATATATGTATATATATATATATATATGTATATATATATATATATATGTATATATATATATGTATGTATATATATATACATATATATATACATATATATGTATATATATAAATATAATGAATGAGTGTGTATCTGCATGTGCATGTGTATAAAAATATGTGAATGTACATGCACATGGACATGCACAAAGATTTAAGCAAATACAAATAAGTGTCTAAGTATGTGCAGACATAAACATGTGTTTTTTGCAAAAATATATGTATCTATATTGAAATTTAATTTTATATTGTAACTGTTTCCTTTTCATCTATATACATCTGTATTTATATATGCACTAATGCATATATGTATATGTATGTATGTATGAATGTATGTATGGATGTATCCATATATATATTTATGTATGTATATAAGTACACATGTATGACTATATGTATGCAAGTATGTATATATGTATGTATGTATGTATGTATGTATGTATGTATGTATGTATGTATGTATGTATGTATGTATATGTATGTATATGTATGTATGTATGTATGTATGTATATGTATGTATGTATGTATGTAATTACACATGTATGAATATATGTATGCAAGTATGTATGTATGTATGTATGTATGTATGTATGTATGTATGTATGTATATGTATGTATATGTCTGTCTGTCTGTCTGTCTGTCTGTCTGTCTGTCTGTCTGTCTGTCTGTATGTATGTACGTATGTATGTGTATGTATGTGTATGTATGTGTATGTATGTGTATGTATGTATATGTATGTACATGTATGTACATGTATGTATATGTATGTATATGTATGTATATGTAAGTATATGTATGTATGTATATGTATGTATATGTATGTATATGTATGTATATGTATGTATATGTATGTATATGTATGTGTATGTATATGTATGTATGTATGCATGTATGTCTGAATGAGTATGATTACAGGTGTGTGTTTATTGTTTATGTGTATATGCATTCACACACATTAATTATTATCATATATGTGTGTGTGTGTGTGTGTGTGTGTGTGTGTGTGTGTGTGTGTGTGTGTGTGTGTGTGTGTGTGTGTGTGTGTGTGTGTGTGTGTGTATATACTTCCTATGTAATCCCAACAAAATTATTTAATGAAATAAAATACATCCTTGACATGGCAAAAAGCAAAAGGAGTTGCCAGATGTCACCACATTCTTATCTTAAAGCTGATTCCTAATCTGTAAACTCAGCCATTTTGACTGTGATGACCTAATTCTCCTGATCCATTCTCTGTGATCAAGTCATTAACATTACCGTCACTTGTATCTTCTTCGATGCGGTTCTTTCCTGGTGTGAATATACTTAAGTTCCTAACTCATTATTTGCCTGTTGAACTACTTAGATGCAATGAAATTAGAAAAATAAAGTTGCATTATTTTTATTAAAGGGGAGCATAATAGTGCTAATTTTCAGCTGCATTTCCATTAACTCTAACATATAATGTGTGAAATATTTCCAATTTGGTAACTGTAATATTATGGTGAAAAACCTTGCTTAATGTGACATTCTGTTGCTGTGCCCGGTCTTGAAATGTATTTTAATCCAAATGCAAACCCTAAAATTACATTCTGCTTTTGGGGTACACATGCACTCAACAAAATATTTCACATTAAAAAAAATTGGACTATTCATACGACCAAAAAATGACCCATAAGAAAATCAAAGAAACCTATAACCAAATAAAATCCCTTCTTATCCTGAATCAGCACCAAATCTTCCCCCCAAAAAAATGGAAATAAACACCTGACGCTCAAAAGCAATGGACAACAGACAGACACACCACAGACAGAAACACACAGACAGACACACCACAGACAGAAACACCACAGACAGACACACCACAGACAGACACACAGAAACTACAGACAGACACACCACAGACACAGAAATCAGCTGTTTTCACACACTGCTCTTGACATTCGTTCCTTCTCCCTCAGCCCTGTCTTGCGTGGACCTGCCTTAAGACCTAACGTTTATATCTAAAGGTCTTAATCCCCACAACACGACAAATTATTGAATGAAGAATTAACGGGGAAAACTTGGAGAGGGAAAAAACGCGATTAAAAAACATTAGTTTCCTTTTTTTTCCTCTTGACATAGCAACTTAACACAAAATAGTTGATCCTCGCAATTAACTCCTGCAAGATCAACTCTTCGATGATAATTACCCTCTCGAGACCTCATCACACAGCAGGAAAGACGAGCGAGAAGAGCGTAAAGAGAGACAAATAACAAATAAAGACAAATAAAGAGAGAAAATAACAAGTAAACTGACATTGCACATCAAGGGGGCGGATGACGATGTTGCTCTCTCCGCTGCAACACCGCCTCTTTCTCCCTTCAATTCCTCCTTTGCAACACTCACCATGTTTGCGAGGGATATGTAGCGTTGTCCTGCGAACCTCCCGTGGGCTGTGGTGAAGAAAAGAGACGGGAAAACGGGGGAAAATGGGGAAAATATCGGCCTCCAGAGCGAGTGGAAGGAGACAGGGGGATTCTCTTTGTTACAGGCGTGCCAACCCTCCCGGCCAAGGGAAAACAATATTTTTTTTCTTCTTCTATTTTTTTTTTTTTTTTTTTTTTTTTTGCTTTGAGGGGTATAATAACCAAGTGGGATTTTTATTGGTGGTGGTGTTAGTGGTGTTGTGTTTCTGTTTAATTTCCTTCGGGTTGTGGTGTTTGTCCTTTTGTTAAGGGGAATGTTGGGGGTGTTCATTGGATGAAGTTCTCATGTATCGCGGATTTGTTTTATTTTTAGGGCTTTATCGTGCGCTCTTTGCCAATTTTAGAATATACCATTGAAATACACTGATTGTTAAGCTATTGCTGAATCTACAAGACTCAGAATTAAAATTAATTAACTAAACTCCACGCGCAGAAATATCAATCCTCGCCCTAACTACAATCCACATACCGGCCAAACATCCCCTTAAAACACCCGAATAATTATCCAATACACCAGGAGCCAACCAATAAAAGAAAGAAAAGGCGACATTACAAATAATTAGTCAGAATAACAACCCCCCTAGAACTCCGGTTGAAATAACTACAATCTACATACCAGCCAAACATCCCCTTAAAACACCCAAATAATTATCCAATCCCCCCGGACCCAATCAACAAAAGAAAAAAGAAAAAAAAAACGTCATTACAAGTGATAAGTCAAAACAACAACCCCCCCAGAACCCCGGTTGAAATAACCCCGCGTGCCTGGGAGCGGTTGGCAGCCCTGCGTGTAGTAAACATGTCGGCCGATCAGCTGGGAGGAAATTCGAACCTAAACACCAATTAAAAAGATGCTAAAAGATGAGGAAAGTGAGGACAGAGAAAGTGATGGCTCATGTCAGCGACTACTTGAAGAGGAGAAATCTCGAGGTGAGTTATGAAAAGGGGGGGGAAATGAGGTTATTTGAGCTGTAAGGAAGCATTGATAAACGTGCGATGGATTAAGCGGAAAAAAATGTTGCATCGCTATGTGGTTTTATTCTGATTCTTGGGGTTTAAATGGTGGGAAGTCGGGTTATTTCACTAGACGAATAGTTGATGAAGCCGAATTATTGGGGTAAATGCACTGGAGATTCGTAGTCTCAATGTAAATCTCATTAATCCTAGCCTTCCATCACCAATCATTGCAGGATCTGAAATTCTGGCAGTTCTGATGATGCGCGGGCAGTTTATTTTAAATTTCTTGCCATGATATTAACTGAAAGTTGTATAATGTTGATAATGATTAAAAAAATAGTCTGGGGCAAATTTCAAAGGACATAGGTATAGCTTACTTGCTATGAGGGTTTCATTAAATGGTATCTTGGTCCTTGGACTTGAGTATACAAACGTGAGTTCATTTTGCACAGAGGTTTATTGTTTATTATTACTGGGAATAAAAAGTTGTAAGTTATAAGATGTAAAGTTTTTCAGTTAGCCATCAATATACACATGGGGAGAGAGGAGGGACGTAAAATCAGTGGCAGTCTCAGAATTTTTTTCCTAAAGACCCATAAATTTGGTACGAGTGGATTGTCCGTGACAAATACATCCAGCTTTAGTAGCTTTAGTCCACATAAATCAGTTATAATGATGATATTGGCAGTAACCGAAGCGACAACGGGCGAAGCACGGCCGTAGCCTTCTCACCTGTTGGCATTCTGGTAGAGGGTAACTAATTTTCCACCTGGTATTTTCTCTTAGGATAGGGTTTTGGCTTCGCAATTCATCATGAAAAAAGGAACCGATCCAAGGCATGTGTTGCCATCAATTATGTGCTGGAGGTTTTCTTGTCTTTGATGTCAATAAGCATGGAAACTGTAGTGCTAGCGTAACACCATGCCACTTTAGATAACTATGAGACTAAAGCTACTAGGCAAGTTAGTGTGTAGTAAATTCATTCAATGAGATAATTGTTTGGTGATAGTTTGATATAGCCAGTTTTAATGTGAACTTGAGATGTAGCCTTTGAGGAATTACACGTGAGTAATTATTTACATAATAGTCTCAGTGTAAGTCAGTGTAGAATTCATCAAAATTACAGTATTAGATTTTTTATGTGTAACCTACAATTTTCCTGTCTCATTTTGTTCTCAGCTCAGCTGTTAGGGATAATATTGTTGCTGTATTTAGTTTACACAGACTTAAGTTGTTATCTAGACAGTTAGCAACATATGCAGTACATTGAAATGACATTCATTAATATCATTGACAAGCATTTTTGAATAAAATTACTGGGCTGACTTGAATTTGCAAATATTTTTACCCCACCAAGTTCATCAGATCTTGGCCTGTCTCGAAAGAAAAGAACGTTTATCATTGTACTCTAGGTGTATCAGCAAGTAACCGAGAGTGATTGCAATCTTTTCAGCCAAACATAATCATTAGTGCAAAACTTGGGTGAGTACTATATGTAGGGTTCCATATAAATATTCATGTGTACATTGATATCATTGGTATTTCATGTGGCATGTACATAAGGGAAAATATATATCCTGTATTGATATACTGAAAGCTCACAAAATGAGTACATGCAATACATGTAATTCTTCGGTGAACCCTTAAAAGACTTAAGTTCCATGAAACGATTATTGATGATAGAAGTGACATATGATTTTAATCCATTTCTATATTAGTCTTAATGATTTCATTATGGTACAGTGTATCTCTTCCAGCTTCAAATTCAAACAAAAAAGGAACATTTTCTAGCATGTAAGATGCACAGTTCTTTTTTATAGTAATATTCTTAACAAATTGTATAATTCATTATACATGGATGGTCTCTCTTCCGAAATGAAGTAACAAGGGGGTCAGTTTTGACCATCAATTGCCTTGTATTGGCAAACTATTTAAACATTCTGAGACAAATGTTTAAACTAAAATTTGAAGAGATGGCATGCAAATGCCTAAGGAAAAGTAATAGCAATAGTAGTGGCACCAAATTCCTGGCATTAATGAGGCAATGACACAGAGAAAAAACAATTAGCCCATGGCCCACTGAGCCAACCAGCAGCCAGAATGTATTGTATTACTGTAAAGTTAAACCTACCTCAGAGTAAATACCCTCAAAGCCATCTGTAAGAAAAGATATGTCAAAAATAAGCAGTGCACAACAACCACCCGCCTAACAGTACCAGTAAACATATCATTTTCTCCCAAATAAATATGAAAACTGTACATAGTAACCAACAAACTAATCTTGACTCAGAAGTGAATATATATGAGCTTCCATAGAGTGCAACACCTGCCTTTTCATACTGTTCAGGTTATTTTGCACACACTAAAGCTACCACATATAAATAGAAACTAAATTATTACACATATGAATTAGGTACAGCTTTGTAAAGAGGAATGATTGCTAAGGCAGGTATGGGTTCTGTATATGCAGTACCTTTATTGTGCCAATGCCTGAAAGTAACTCGCAGCAAACATATAAAAAAAGATACCTACCTGCAAAGACTACTGTTCTTGTTCCCCTTGAGTAGACTTTCTACAAGTTAACTATATTGGTAATACTTAATTAATAGTAACACAGATTGAATATGTGTTTGGTGTATTGCAGCTTATCACAACTGTTTGCTACAAACCTTGAGATGTTGATAAAGCACTTGGTGGACTGCATCTCACAACACCTTGAGATATTGCTATAACACTTGGTGGATTGCATCTCACAGCACATACCAGCTACAAACCTTGGGATGTTGAAATAACATAAATGTCACTGAATGAGACATGTTTTATATTGTTAATCTTTGATTTTCATACTAGTGATATGCAGGATTTCCTATATAATAATTACACTATCCTGCTTAACTAATGAATAATATAGCATGTTTTATCTCTTCTTTAAAGAAGTTATTAGCCCCTTTTAAATGGTGACACTGATTTTGGCATCATGAAGTGCCAGTGGAATATACTGCGTCGCCAATGTGGGTGTCATAATTCCATTTTATTTTAGTTGCTGCTCAGTGATCCCAGTATTCTGTTGTGGCTCTATTTTTCAGACTCTTATATATTGCACTAGAAATTCTATAGCTCCACCCACCATCCCTCTTCCCACCAATCATGTAAATCAGCTAGACTATGCCCCATCTTCTGCCCAAAATGAGAAACTATCATTGGCCGAGTATACATCAATTTCCCCCCCTCTGTGGTCCTACCCTTGTCCTCCATATCCCCTATCCTTTACCTTAGTTAACCATAAAATGAACTTGAGGCTTCATTGAATCTTTCCTTTCAACTCTGTGAAGAAGAGGAAGAAACTTTATTAGATAAGAGACTCTCAGGTTGACACATTCAAAGCTACCGTTCACAGGCTAGTACCCCATACAGGAGCAACACACATCTTTTAAAACCATTCAGAGCAAAACAGTTAAATTATTCTTTAGCAAGAGAGAGAGAGAGGGGGGGGGGGGGCTAGATGTAAGGCAGTTCCGAAGATACTCACCGTCTTCTCTAAACCTTCAGAGTGGGGGACCAGGAGGAAGTGTAACGCTAACCGAACAGCAGGTGGGAATTTTGGGCTTGGTTTCTCCCTCGGCCCCCAACACCTTCACCTTCTCCACCACCTCCACCCAGCACACGCATGTTGATCACCAGTATGTCAGGTGAGTTGACGTGTCTTGGGTTTTATGGTTTTTGGTGTAGTTTCTTCTTTCAGCAGATCTATATCTATTTTTGTATGTATCTAAATATTATTATTTATATATATATATATATATATATATATATATATATATATATATATATATATATATATATATATATATATATATATATATATATAAATATATATATATATATATTCACGCACGGGAAATTTGAAGTTTGCTAGCATCTTTCAAACAATTTTTTGGACTTTAGTACTTAAAAAATTTTGTTTGTATGTATGGAATGTTCATAAGTAGAATGTTCTTAAGTAGGGGACTATCTGTATGTGTGTGTGTGTGTGTGTGTGTGTGTGTGTGTGTGTGTGTGTGTGTGTGTGTGTGTGTGTGTGTGTGAGTATGCATATATGTATATATACATATGTGTATATATATGTACATATATTCATATATATCTATATATATCTATATATACACAAATACATATATGAATGGTAAAGCACTCTACTGTGTTGATACTATGGTAGAAAAACCCACAATGTAATAGATTTATTGAAAGTGAAACTACAATTTCGGAACCCACCTACTTTTACATTGTGGGTGTTTCTACCATATACATATATATACATATACATATATACATATATACATATATACATATATTTGTTTATACATATATATATATATATATATATATATATATATATATATATATATATATATATATATATATGAATGTATGTATATTATTCCTTAAACCACAGTATTGAATTAGGTTTTGTATTTTATTGGTTAGACTTTTTTATTCTCTCTCTGTGTCTCTCTCTGTCTCTGTGTCTCACTCTCTCTCTCTCTCTCTCTCTCTCTCTCTCTCTCTCTCTCTCTCTCTCTCTCTCTCTCTCTCTCTCTCTCTCTCTTTCTCTTTTCTCCCTCTCCCTCCCTCCATGAATCCCCTACATTACTATATACTTCAATGATGTATTCTACCTTACCAGGCTAAAATCGTGGATGATGGAGGCCAGTGAGCCATGCCGATCCGAATTATCCCAAGTTCTGTTTCCGCTCTTCGTCCACCTGTACCTTGAGCTGGTAGCGGCCACAGGGAGACAAGCGGCAAACAAGTTCTTCAAGAAACATTATCAGGTTTGTTTGTTTAAAGGGCCGAAGGGTAGAGTGCCCTAGCCCCATGCATAGAGTGGATCTTACAGCTGCCTCATCACTTTGTCAGGTCCTGTATGGCCTTACCTTCATCCAGCTCGAATGTTAGTCCATGGAGAAGTATTTTTTGAGAATTCTGGTTTCTCCCAAAAGTGTAGAAATGGTATGAATGAGAACGAATATCTTCACATTGCAAGAGGTATCTGTTCTCGTACCTTTTAGACATATATCACAATGAACACAGTTTCTCCTGTAAGGTTATAAGTCCAGTCACTCCACCTCAATTCCTCTATTCTTTTTTTTTTTTTTTTTTTTTTTTTAATCTTAAGGTCACCATTTTCTTATCACATATCTAAGGAAAGAAGAAAATCTCAGTATCACAATTTATGTATGGAAGAGATTCATTAACATAGAAAATCATCGTCATTGTTTACAAGTAATGCTTTATAAGTGGTACTCTGCTTCTAGAGAAAGATTTCATCATTAGCATGTACTAATCTAGCATAATTGGAGGTATACATTAACCGTTTCATGTAAATGTGCTCTGTTCACTGTGCTTTTCTTTTAATAAATTCTATTTATACATTGATTGCATTACAAGTGTTAGTCCCCAAGGAGTCAGTTTCAAGGAAAGAAAAAGTTGATTTTTAATTACTATTACTATTGTTGTTGATGATATAAGAAATAAATATAATACTAATAATATCAATAACAACATCAGTAATTATAATGTTAATAACTCAGCAGGATAATAAGAGTAACAAATTGGGTAAAAAAGTGAGGTCCATTTTGCCTAGTAATTGACTCCTTAGTCACTAAGTGCTTGCAGTACCATCTTTGTGTAAGAAAAAAAAATAAATAAATAAATAAAACAAAACTATGTTGGACACTTCATATGCGTGGATTCATTGTATTGAGTGGATGATTGCTGTGTTTAGGATCTTAAAAAAGTGTATATTTCAAGTGAGCTCTGGAAGAAGAAGAAGAAGAAGAAAAAGAAAAAGAAAAAGAAAAAAAAAGAGGGGGGAAAAAAAAAAAAAAAAAAAAAAAAAAAAAAAATATATATATATATATATATATATATATATATATATATATATATATATATATATATATATATATATATATATATATATATATATATATATATACATATATAATGTATATGTATATATTTCATTCTCTATAAAAAAGAGTTTTGTGGAGTAATTCCTTTATTACAGAAAATTTGGATATTCTAAAACTGTTTTCTTTTTGCAGGACTTGTGTCAATAACACAAGTCTAGCCTGCAGCATGCGAGCTTGGTCTAACCTGCCCTTTCCCCTTGGTTTTAACAGGTGTTCTTGGTGAACCGTGATTATGAAAATACACTCTCTCAGGTTGTAAGTGCATCTTCTATAAATTCTTCTGGAGACATGAATTCTTCTCCTGTTATACAGAATCTCAAGTAAGTTTTCCTTGGCCTTGAGGTGTAATGAAATGTGTATAATTTAGGAACCTTCTTTTTTGGATGAAAGAACGTTATGAAAAGTATTTGTTTATGTTGTGTGATGTCCCTTTTTATATTTTTAGGTAGTTGATTTGTTGGTTCAGAGCATTACAAATGGTGTGGAGAATAAAATGTACAATCTCTTGCAGGAGTGGCAAGTACCTGGTACGTTTAAGTGAACTGACTTTAAACTACTTTCTGCGATATCTGAAGTCGAGTGAGAACCCCACACTGTTGCAGGTAATATTTCTCTTTGTGACTATTTTGATGTGCTCACATTTGTCCAGGATCACATTTATTCATTCACTTTTAGTCACTGCATTTATTGAGATTGATATGGCTATTAGATATGACTATTAGAGAAGTTATGTAGATGTTGCGGGCACAGGAAACTCATAAACCAGTAAAAAACATGAAACTGGTTACAGCCAGTAGTACAGACTTGTAGTTGCTGGGTGAAGATAAATGAACTCACATCATTGATGTAGACTATATTGCTAAAAATTAAGAGAAGAAATAATTAGTGTTGCTGTCTTCTGTCATAGCTGTTTTGGTATCAATAGTGTGAAAGGTTGTATATATATTGCTAAAACCTTTAAGTGTGGGGCTGGTTTCTCCTTGAAGAGACACTAGAGTTAGTTTCTCCTTAAAGGGATTCTTAAGCATGAATATCAGAGGAATGGGCTGTAGCATAAGTGCACTGTGTTTTCTTTGACACTAAATGTGATTTGTTGCGTATTATCACAAAGGCCTCAGCCTTTTTATTTTCCTTTTCTTTGTATTTCAGATGCTCATGCTATTGAGAACTAATGATTTCTTTTTTTCTCAGATATTCAATACATACATTGAGGTTGAGGTGGATGAGTCAGGTGCTGGAAGTTCAGGAGCTGTGTTCAGAGGGCCCGATCTGAACACTTCTTCCTCAACAGCTTTAGTTAATGGTCACACTCCAGACTCATTGTCCTCTGATGCCTCTGCCTATGCAGCTGATGGAATGGATTGTAGCCCAGAAGAACTGCGCAAAGTGAAAGACATCATGGCTCGTGTTCGGTCGGCCCAACCCACTGCCCCTTCTTTGTGTGTGTATACGGTCACAAATGCTTATAATGGCCTGAGTTGTGCTAATGTGAATGCGGAAGGACAGCTTTTAGCCTGTGGGTTTGAAGACAGTGTAATTAAATTGTGGAAATTGACACCCCCTTTGCATGATATAGGGTTTGGAAAGAAAAAAACAGTAGTTGGACCCAGAGGTGGGATATCGCACACATTACTTGCATGTGATGATTCTCGCATTGAAGACAGTGGTGAAAGAGATGAAGATGACAAAGAAGAAGAAGCCACAGCTGCTGAGATCCGTAATGGAGGAAGGAGAAGAAATCGTGGTGGGGAGCTTTTTGCTCTTCGTGGACACAGTGGGCCTGTGCTGGACACAGCATTCAGTCATGATTCAAATTACTTGTTATCAGTTAGTGAAGATTGCTCCATGAGACTGTGGGACTTAAATAGTGGTAATGCAGTGGCTCTGTATAGAGGTCATTCCTATCCTGTGTGGTGTGTAGCTGTAGCCCCTCTCACCATGTATGTGGCAACAGGCTCATATGATACAACTGCAAGATTGTGGTCCACGGATGCAACATACCCCCTACGCACCTTTTCAGGTCACACAAGAGCTGTAGATTGTGTGGCCTTCCATCCCAATGGCACTTACTTAGCTACTGGATCCTGTGACCGTAGTATTAGACTCTGGCAAGTCACTGACGGTGATGTAGCACGGATCCTTCCTCACCACAAGTCAGCAATCAACACTATGTCATTTTCTCCAAATGGAAAGTAAGTGCATATGTTTTCAGTTTAAGTTTTGCATTTTGCCTAATTGTGCTGTGCTATAAAAATGATATGACATTCCTTTTGTCAGTATGCACTCATTGCATAATACAGAACTTTATTGAAAAAATTGGATGCCTTTTGCCAGTCTCTGTTACACAACCATTTTGCAGGTACCTGGCCTCTGGCAGCGAAGACGGCACAGTTGTCGTCTGGGACCTTGCTGGTGGACGCGTCATGACAGAAATTAGCAGTAGTAATCAAGTCAATAGTGGGAACACTGGCACAGGTACTCCTCACCAAGACTCCATCATGAATGTGTGTTGGTCTACTGACTCATCCCTCCTTGTGTCTGCGTCCAGTGACGGTTGTGTGCGAACAAGTCATCTAAAGCAAACGCCAGCAAGGTGAGTGGCACCAGATGAGGTCTTGTTTCACATGATTAGCTTTTGAGATTTTACCCCCATAAGAGTGTGAGTTAGTATGTCTTTGGGATTTGTTTGTAATTGGCCGTTGGAAAATCATTAGTGATTGATTAGCATGATTAAAGTTACTGGTGTGATTTGATCATCTCAACATTTTTATTATTAAAATGTCAAGTTTCATTATTCAAGCATTTATCAATATTGCATTTTTGAAAGATATTTAATCAAGTATTTTCCCTTTCATTCTTACATACTTTTTCTCTCTCAGCCTTTCTCTCTCCATGTCTCCTACCATCCCCCTTTCTCCCCCTTTCTTACCCTCTCTTTTTGCCCCCCCCCCATTCTCGTTCATGTTCATCCATTCACACAAATTGCTATATACCACATTTCCATTTTCCTTTTTAGCAATGATGGAACCAATTCCTGGGAACTGAACGAAGTTGGCCAGGTTCAGTGCAGCGGAAGTACAAATGGAGGAAGCGGCAATAATGGAGCGTCGGGAGTCCTGCTCCACACGTCTCTAACGTCTCACAATTACCTCACTTCTGTCATTGCTCTCGACGTGGAGAGATAGTCGGTCTGCGGGCCACGGTGATTCTGTCAGATGCCCATCGCTACTTGATAGGTGGTGCTACAAATATTTTTAAATTTTTAGTGCAGGAAGAGGGGGAATGCCCACAGACATCTGATTGTCACTTTTTCATTTTTTTTTTTTTCTTTGCAAGGAACTTCTTTCTTTTCTACATTCGTGTATATTCAGATTTTAGACTTTGATCATTGTTGTATTTCACTTTGATTAGTCCCTGGTAACAAGTGCTCGCAACTTTCATGAACAGATGTAAGCTCAAGCATTCTTTATGTTGTCTCACTTTTTGCATCTTATATGACAAAAGTTCTTTGAGAGTATTAAAGTAATAACTGCATGTCTTTCATGGCTTTTGTGAACAAATGTAGACTCAAGCAGTCTTTATGTTGTATCAGTATTTATATTACATCTGGCAAAAGGTATTTAGAATGTTAAGTAATAATTGTTTATCCATATCTTCCTCCAAAATCTTTTGTCACATGTTCATTCTCAGTCTTTCTTTGTTTTCTTTCTTTCGTTTCTTTTTAAATCTGTCTGTAAAGCAGCTTATTTATCTCTCATACTTTTACATAATCATAACATCTCACCAAAATGAAGTTCTTCAGTTGTTCTCTCTTTTTCTCTTTCTCTCTCAAAGTGACGTGCTATTTATCATGTCTTCCCTATTTTGTGTACGACTCTCTACCCCCAAAAATACATCCATTGTGTTCAAATTTTTGGTCAGAAGTGCTAAGCCACCACTGTACTCCCTCCATGATCTTACAGATCTCATTTTCATTTTTTATTACCATAAACAACCTTAATATGTTTGTTTTTATTTTGAAGAAAAAAAAAAAAACAATCCTTTAGTCATAGTGCAACATTTCAAAAAGCTGTACAAAACCAGTTGGTTCAATATATCTTGTATTTTCGTAAAAGTCCGCAAAGATTTTTGAATTGCATTCATTTTGTAGTTCTTGGATATAATTACAGTTGTTTAACTAGAAGAGTATTTAAGTATCATTAATTTGTAAAAATGGTGAACTGTAAAATAGTGCAAATAACGGGAAAAGTGAGTGAGTGAATGAGTTAGTGAATGAATATGCGTATATTTGTGTGTTTACAACATATGGAATTATGGTGTTTTGGATGTCGTTGTCTCAATGTTGGTTCTAAGAAAATAATTTTCACAATAATTATTTATACAAAAACAATGCAAAAGGAAGTACACTATCGTGAGCATAGGGAATGCCTGTAATGATACTGACAAAGACTAAGCTGGGACAAACTAGTTAATATTTATTCCCCATTGAAATTAATATGAAACAGCAACAATTTACTGATAATCAAAATGGACAAATGGTCTTGCTTGTATCTGTAATTAGGAAGCAAATTATTATTTTAAATGTCAATATATAAGACCTGTTGATGAGATTTGAAACTCAAAAAGTGTCTGAATTGGATATTCCAATATGGCAAAAATAATGATAGCCTATAAAATTAGAAATTCTTTCATGAGGTAAATAAAATGAGCAATTATGTCATTAATACCAATGTACCATAACAAAATAGAAGGAATTTAATTAGTGTTAGTATATACTCTAGTTTTAACTAGCAGTGTATTTCAGGCTTCACCATATCATTGCAAATATAAGATTTAACAAATGTAGGGATACACTTTCATATTTACAGTGAAGATTAATTATATTAGATTCAAGAGTCTAGCCAGTAGATTCCATGCTCAGATTGTTTTAAAGTTCATATCCCCGTTGCATTATCTTTATATTTGTGTGTTTTTAAGTAAAGACAATAATTATATAAGATATTCTGATTTTCTCTTCAAATACAATGTGTTAGGGTCTGTCTTTATTATGAAAGATATATTGGCCACAATTATCAAAGGGAAGTTAATGCAACAATGCAGAAAATCCATATTACACCAGAAAGGTATTTTGCACTAACAATAAATGGTGCTTGAAATGATCTCGATAACTCCATACAGAATGTGAGAGAGAAAACAGTTTCCTAAATCAGAAAATAAGAGTAACACTTCATACACAGCACTAACTGTTCTCTTATAAAGATCTCTGCTCTAAGGTAAGTGGAATTGATTGATTGATCTTCTTCTTCTTCTTCTTCTTCTTCTTCTTCTTCTTCTCCACCCCAATCCCTTGCCCGTTGTTGTCGTGGGGGGCTTAGGAGGCGGAGACTGGGACCCAATGATGGGGAACTCCCCAACCTTGGGACTCAGCCCTCGACTCAACTAATTATGCATGGTCTTTTTTTTTCCCTTCCCACTTTTGTTTCTGTCCCTTCACCAAACCCTTCCGCTATCCACCTCCTAAGGTGTGAGAGCCGTGCTGAAAGGATGAAAGGCTGACTTTGTGCCAGTCCCAAACGGCCTGAGGGAGCCATGGGCACGGTATTCCCCTGATTTTAGTTATCTAGCCCTTACCCCTCAAGGGGACCCTGAGGGGTGGACTGTTTTTATCCCCAACATAATCCAGGCTTACCATGGCCAGTAATGAAAATATATCCCTACTGTTAGGGGCAATGAGGCTTGCCCCTTTATCAAATAGCCCCAACGAAGTAAACCCACCCGATTCCCTGACCCCAGGCTCTCCTTTGACCACAGCTCCGAACACTGCAATAACTACCCCTTCATCAATGCCTGCTAGTACAGTAGCCAACAATCAACCCTCAAGGAACATTTCCACTCTCACAGCATGCTCAACTTCAACACCTCTACCCCCACAACCTCCAACATCAACCACCCCATCCTCCCTTATTAATACCTTACAGCCTTATTACCCACCTCTCCATAACACTACTTCCCCCAACACTACTCCATCTTCGTCACTGCCCCCGCCCTTCTACCACCCCTATCTCTAAAACAATCTTGAATACTCTCTTTAGTGCAGCCAAATGGGACCGATTTTTCGTGATCCCTCCCACAGCTCCCTACTCTGACAACACCCTTCTCTTCCAACAATGCCTCCAAAAACAAGTAGGTAAAGTCTCTTTCCGTAGCCGACCCGACCGCTCCCGTCTTGTCACAGTAACATCCGAAAACCAAGCTATAGCATTAACAAAACTAACTGACCTATATGGTAACCCCATCCTTGCAGAACCCCATCCAACCCTCAATACTTGCACCGGAACAGTCTCAATCTCCCCAGCAAATTGCCCAATCTATGACAAAGATTGGTCAGATTGTGGAGAAGACCTACTTGCCTGTCTCACAGACTATGATGCAACATCAGTACAATGCTACTCCATTCCCCCCAGAGGTCATCGAAAGAAAGCCCACTAACATAGCCAAAATTACCTTCCGTAGACATGACCTTCCCTTTAACGTCTACATAGGAGGAGAATCCCTCCCTGTTCGTCCATACCAACCTCCTCCACATCAGTGCCAAAATTGTTGGTGTCTAGGACACCCAGCCAAACATTGCCGTTCCACAGCCAGATGCCCACTATGTGCCCAACCTGGCCATACCCGATCTAACTGCTCTGCACAATCACGCACATGTGCCAACTGTGGCGGCCCCCATAATGTATTTTATAGGGGCTGTCCCACCTACAAATTTGAATCTGAGGTAGCAACTCTCAGATTCAAACTTGGACTCACACTACGTGAAGCCAGACAGGAAGCACGTCGACGTGGATTCTCTCTTACTCCTTACTCCAGTAATACTGCTCATTCTAACACTTCTCCTAAACCCACCCCTCCTACATCTAACTCCCCCACTTCTACCTCCTACCTTCCCCAGTCAAACTCTTTTGCCATCCTAAATCCAGACACTCCAATCTCTACTACAGATACTCCAATCACCACTACAACCCCAACACCTTCCCCTCTCCCTCCTCGCACTACCCGTAACAGACAGAACAAACTTTCCACCCCCTCTTCCCCTACCACACAATCACCCCCACCATCCTTTGCCCCTACTCTTGAGACACTAGTCCTCTCTTCCCCCCCTCACAAGAAATCCTTTATCCCCCAAAACTCCCCAACCAACTCCACAGAAGAAACTATTGAAAATATTCAAGATTACTTTATGAAAACTGACACTCAACCTACAACTCCTGCTCCTTCCACACTCCAAGTAATTGCTGATATCCATCCTCCTCCTAACGATATCCCCCCTACACCCTATCCTCCTACCCCCTCCCAACACAGCCCATCCCCCCTGACCCCAACCCCGCCCACATTAACCCTCCCACCATCCCCTCTATCCCTTCCACTCCCTCCTGGATACACACTGTGAATCCCTTATGTCACAAGTATCCCCTTCCTCAGACCCTCCATCTCCTAATACCCCTCCTGATAGAACACCAACTCCCACACCTCTCCCATCTCAAACCTCTCAGTCGCTATCCCACCCTCTAGCTGCTTCCCCTTCAAATTCTCCAACACGTACTACAATCTATATCACTAAATCAACGAAAGTATAACTATCCTTCATTGGAATATTCGCGGTTTCCGCTCCCACAGACCTGACCTTCGTCATATCCTTTCCTCTTATAACCCATTTATTGTATGCCTTCAAGAAACCTTTCTTACACATCCTCCAATACCAATCCCCAATTATCATTTTGTCTCTTCCCCACATTCCCTTTATGTCTCATCCATACTTTAATCTAACACCCGACCTTTAACCCTTTCACTCACCAATTCCTTTGCCCAGCTTAGACAACTAATCACTAACTCAACCACCCTTCACTAACATTAACTAGAGTGCTACATGACCTTAGATGTCTAGCACATTTATCTTGCTTTTAACCATTAACCATTAACCATTCTTCTACTTCTTCTTCTTTTTCTTTTTTACTACATACATTAATAGATCTTATTTCATATTCAATTGCAACCACACTTTTAAGAAATCTCTTTCTTAGGTATAGGTAAATATCTACACAACATAATCTGTTTTACAGCTACAATCTATTTTACATTCACCTTTTTCACTGTGAAATAGTGCAATAACACAACATTACTGAACTACAATGAACCCATAGTATTTATCATTATCATCAATATTAGTAATGTATGAGTGATAATGCATATTTAACAATAAGACTTCAGCAACTAGTTGTTGAATTCAGAAAGAAGAACTCCATGTAAAAGCAAGGGTTCCTGGTGAAGCTCTTTCTCTTGACTGAAAATAATTAAGATAATCTCTCTGAAATATTTATTAGGTGATTAACTTGTTATTGGAATTATTTATGAGGACCAAAAAAATGACTGGTCGATTTTTCTAAAAATGCAGTGATATGTTAAGTAGTGAAAGAATGATACTATGATTTTCCCATCCACCACCATGTTCACCTGTTAATAATTTATTTAAATTCTTGTGTTTGTCATTTAGCCAGTCAAGATAGACAAGCATAATATTTTATATGAAGGATACTGAAGGGAAGAAAAAACACAAATGTACTGAGGGCCTTTTCACTGTATTGAACTGTATTGTATTGTTTGCCCCTCTTTTGTTTTATATATTACATCAACCAAGCACCTGTAGGACAACCATTTTCCAAGCTGGCAGGAAGAATCGACTGCAGTTAAGAATTATAAATAGTCCTCGTCCATTCAAAACAATACTGTGCATACATTTTAATCCTTAGAAGTGTTTAACATATGCCCATTGACATGGGCTTGGAATACAATTTTTAGCCACCAATAGCCAATAAAAACAAAGATATGAGGGTCTGCAAGTAACTGCAAGTCATCACTGATATTCTCCACATTCAAATGAATCGGGAATGAGCCACACTCCTCACTCTTATTGTCTATAAAAAAAAATAAATACAAAAAATGTGAAGCTGAATAGACAGATATCTCTAGCATGAAGAACTGGAGAGCAGATACATGAGACACAGATATGCAAACAGAGACGGACAGACAGAAAAGGCGAATGTGGCAGGAAGGGTATTTTAACACAAGCGGATGTGAATATCAGTAGCAGTTTTGCAAGCAGAAAAGTTTCACACATACACATCTCTCACTCTCTCACAAACACACACACGCATACAGACACACGCACATACAGACACACACACATACACACGCGTATAAATACATAAGTATAAATGCATATATATATGTGTATGAACATATATATATATATATATATATATATATATATATATATATATATATATATATATATATATATATATATATATATATATATATATATATATGTATATATTATATGCATATACACATATTAAGGGAACCGGAATCTAGAATGACAGTGGATCTTCCAGTTACCTTGACGTGTGGTTTCATAAATGACGAACCGAATATCAGGGTCACGTATAGTCCTCTACACGTAGTCGGGAAACCAGCTCTCAACCCCTTTCGTCCGTGTTGTTATATGCCTTTTCCTTAATTATTATCAAATCACCACAAGGAAAAAACACATACAACAGAACAACAGCGGTGTGACCAGGATTAAGACAAAATGGGATAGTTTCAGGACATGCCCTTCACTCTGGCAGGTTACATAGGAAAATGTCAAAAAGAAAAGAAAATTGACCCTTTGCCTTTCGAGTCCATGCTTGCTGTACTAATCTAAACCCTCTACGAGGATGAGGTCAATATTTGTTTGTTTTTCCCTGTAATCATATTAATATTTCTTTATTTCTTTAATGTACCGAAATTACTTATAAAGACCACAGAGGGAATGCTTACAGTGAAGAAACCGACACGACGGATTTCAAAAATCTTATCCAAAATCTTTAGTCGCCTTCAGTACAAGATACAATTTTTAAAAATCCAAAATACAAGCATGTCGCATAAAAAATAAGTTGTCCGGGATAAGAAAAACAGCGACATATATACAACAACACATGTATGTACATAGTCATGTATGTATAATCCTCGACAAAAACTGCGACATATCAATCATGAATATTACAACAACACACGCATGTACACATCCATGTATGTAAAATCCTCGACAAAAAAAAATCAATTGACAAAGAAATAACAAAAAATAGAGGAAAAAAGTCATGCAACATCGCCCTGAGAGAGATTCCAACTGGGGTAGAATCGGCGCCATGTTGCCAAATTTTGTGTAAATAGTTAACAAACTCTTTTTATTCTTGAATTTATGCCTTATTGACTTTGTTGGTTGATCAACTCGTAGAACCTAGTTGTCGAGTTCATTTACCGTAAAAATATAGAAAATCTATATCCTTGATGTTTACCTCCTTTCATAAGGCCTT